ACTTCATCCGATGTCAAATGCAAGTGATAATAAAAAGCAAGGTAGCGAACAAAAGTAGGAGAGTACACACATCCACAACACTGTCAGCGTGAATAATTCACACCAGCACTTTCAATCTTTTACATTTTTGCCAACAGCCATTGTAATGGTTCGCGATGCATCAAATCAATTTCAGCCATGTCGAGCCTTACTCGACTCTGGATCCCTGGGTACGCTTATATCAGAAGCGTGCGTTCAGCGGTTGCGCCTCAAGCGCACATTTGACAAAACTTTGATATATGGTGTCGGTTCGAGCATCGGCAACTGCACTAAGGGCAAAGTCCAAATTCACATTCAGCCATCACAAAGCAGCACACTTCTCATAACAGAGGGACTGTGTTTGCACAAGGTTACACAGTACTTACCTACATATGAGGCTACGATGACAAGCTTCAATTCTTCAACAATCTTTTATTAGCGGATCCATCTTTATTTAAGCCTGGCAAGATTGACATCATTCTCGGTGCCAGAGAAGCTTACATATCCATGTGGATCACCAACAGCGATTAACACAATTTTTGTGTGGATAGTTATGGGCAAAGCTTCTACTTCAATACAACAAGGAATTAGAGTAGTAGTACAACGATTCTGGGAGGTAGAATATCTCCAGGGCCCCACAAAGTATTTAACTTTAGAAGAGCAGAAAGCAGAAGAGCATTTTCAACAGCACGTTCAGCGTGACGAGAGTGGTCGATACATGGCCAGATTGTCACTCAAAAGTAATGAGGTCACTTTGGGAGAATCTCGTACAGCACCTTTAAGGCGACTTTACGCTTCAGAGCGCCGTTTAAGCAGCAACTCAGACCTTCAGCTAGAGTATAGAAAGTTCATGAAAGAGTACTTGGACCTGGGTCACATTGAGCTTAGCACTGATGTTGAAAAAAAGGCCATACCTTATGCCTCATCACGCAGTTCTCAGGCCAACAAACGCGACAACAAAGCTACGTGTGGTTTTTGATGCTTAATGAAGAACCACAAATGGGCTTTCGCTAAACGACCTTTTACTGGTGGGTCCAAGGATTCAAAACGATCTTTTTGAAATCATCATCAATTTTCGCAAGCACGAAGTTGGCATCGCTGGAGACAGAGAAAAGATGTACCGAAAACTGATGGTCCATCCTGATGATCGCCCACTGCAGCGCATTTTGTGGAGAGATTCTAAGGATGATCAACCAAAGGCATATGATCTTCGAACAGTGACATATGGGACTTCAGCTGCTCCTTTTCTAGCGGTGAGGACCCTGCGACAGATTTCTTTCGACAACATTGACAAGTATCCTGTGGCAGCAGCTTCAATACAGAAAAATGTTTATGTAGATGACTTCCAGGCTTGTGCATCTAGCATACCAGACGTAGTAAAACTTAAAGATGATCTTTGCAGCATTTTGTCCATAGCAGGATTCCATTTGCGAAAATGGTTATCGAATTCATCGCAGTTTCTTAGCAGCATTCTTGAGGAAGATCGAGAAGCATCTTTAAGTACAGTTATCGATGCCACAAACACAACCAAAACCCTCGGGCACAACTAATAACAAAACGTAAACGTATTGAATGGGATGCTGAACTATCTGACGAATTCAACATTCAATGGCCTGAATTTTGGCAAAATATCAACAACGCTTCAATTATTTGTATTCCAAGATGGGTGAAATTCACAGATGAGAAATATGTGGAGCTCCGTGGCTTTTCAGGCGCATCTGAATCAGCATACGCAGCAGCGGTTTAGTAACGTATTCCACACGGCAATGGAGAGGTTTCTTCATATTTGTTGGTAGCCAAAACTACGGTTGCTCCAGTTAAGCAGATCATGCTACCGCGGCTTGAGCTTTGCGCGGCAGTACTCTTTATCAAGCTTGTTTACCAAATTGAAGGATTCTCTCAGTCTACACCAAATCAAGGTTTTCGGTTGGACTGATTCGTCCATTGCACTTGTTTGGCTCGCATACCATCCTCGTCGTTGGAAAACTTTCGTGGCAAACAGAACAGCGCAAATTATCGACATCATACCATCCAGCAATTGGCGTCATATTCCGTCGAAACACAATCCAGCAGACCTGGCGATAAGGGGCATTAACCCTACAGAATTGATACACAATAATCTCTGGTGGCATGGACCAGATGAGTTGTCATATGAGTCAACAAGCTATGACGTATCTACTTTACCTGACGGCATCGACATGGAGGAGCGAAAAAACTTGGTTTCGCTACCTATCACAACAACAGGGTTGCGTTAATTGAAAAATACTCAGATTTCACGCAATTATTACGAATAATGGCTTACGTATTTCGTTTTATAAAGCCACACAAGCTACACAGGTGAGAACAACTGGAACAATTTCCTCACAGGAGCTGATAGCTAGTTATGACATGTTGGTGAAGATAGCGCAATCTACATCCTATGCTCATGAGATTTTCAGCCTAGCACGGGGTAAGTGATTACCCACTTCACATAAGCTCGCAAATCTTGCACCGTTCACCGACGACAATGGTCTACTGAGAGTTGGCGCAAGAATTTGCAAAGCTAATATAAGTCATAACACCCACTCATTCTTCACAAGGATCATCATTTCACTAAACTTATAATAAGAAAATATCATTTACAACATTTACATGCAGGTAATCGACAGCCACATTATTTGTCTGTCAACTGTCATTAAACAATGCCTGTATAAATGCTTCACTCCCACCAAAAAATGTGCGCCTTATATAAGGCTTATTTAATATGATCGTAAGTCTTAACATTTAATGCATGAAAATTGTAAGGAATACAAGTTGTATGGCACATTCCTTATTTTACACCTGATTTTGCCGTATTGATGTCATTGGGAATAAGGTTTAACTCTCTCTCTCAGAGAGCCACTCTTATGCATAAGGATTATCTGTTATGGAAAATAAGGCTTATATAATGCCTTATGATAAGTCATTATACAGAATATTATTACCTTATTATAAGCCTTATTCCCTACCCGAAATAAGGCTTACATAATGCCTTATTATATAGAACATTGTTACCTTATTACAAGCCTTATCCTCTGCTCGAAATAAGGCTTACATAAGGCCTTATAATAAGATAAAATATTGACTACCATTACCTTATTATAAGCCTTACCGTCCATATCAAGTAAGGCATACATAAGGCAATTTTCATTAAGATTTTGAGTATTGTCCGCTTATATACATGTAATAATTAGAAACCTTTTATACAGACAGTTTTTTATATATATTTTTTTGTTTTATTGAAAAATAAATTCATTAAATCCATACGTACATTTTTATATTTAAAAAAAGGAGTGTAATTAATAGGAGATTTAAGATCTAAAAATTCTAAATAAAAAATGTGTAATTTTTATGAAAATTTTACGATTTTTTTTTAATTGTCACAAAGTGAGAAACTTTCAGTTTTAGGAATTTTGTAACATGAACTATATTTTTATTAAGAACTAGCGGTACCCCGGTGTGCTTCTCTACACCAAATATTGAAAAATTTTGAAAAATGAATGAAAAATCCTGGAATTTCTCTATATGAAAATTTATCATTTGTTTTATTTCAAAATTTTTGATTCTTTATTTTAAATCTTAATCCGACACATTTGGATATACAACATTTTTTGTTTTTCCATCTTAGGTATGAATAAATAAACAAATAAATAAACTCTTGAACAGGCCACGTATAGCTACCAATTCCAGTAATCTACCACAAATATTTCAAGAGATATACCAGATGAAAATTTTTGTTAGTATGGGTGGTGCCACACTCCCTTTTCCGCATTCGGGGAAACTTAACACAAACCATCTGCATAATAGCCCCACTATGCAGTATAAATTTGGTTGAAATCTTGCATTTATTTTTTATATATAAGATGGGAGGTGCCACGCCCTCTTTTCCAATACCGCCCATTTTCCTCCATGAGTATGGAATTATTTGATATACCTCTATACCAATTTCCAGTACTCTACCACAAATATTTCAAGAGATATACAACATAAGTTATTTAGTTAGTATGGGAGGTGCCACACCCCCTTTTACGAATTCGGGCACACTTCACATAAACCATCTGCATGATAGCCTGAATATGCCGTATAAATTTGGTTGAATTCGGTGAAGGCGTTCCCAAGTTATAAGCTCACACCAAAACGAGTACTTATTTTTATACATAACATACATGTGCCACGCCCCCTTTTCCGAATTTGGGCAAACTACAACATAAAATATCTGCATGATGGCCCGAATACGCTATATAAATTTGGTTGAATTCGGGGCAGCCGTTCTCAAGTTATGAGCTAACTCACTAATTTTTATATATAAAATAGAGGCGCCACGCCCCCTTTTCCGAATTCAAGCAAACTTCACATAAACCATCTGCATGATAGCCCGAATATGCCGCAAAAATTTAGTTGAATTCGGTGAAGCCGTTCTCAAGTTATGAGCTAACTCACTAATTTTTATATATAAAATAGAGGCGCCACGCCCCCTTTTCCGAATTCAAGCAAACTTCACATAAACCATCTGCATGATAGCCCGAATATGCCGCAAAAATTTAGTTGAATTCGGTGAAGCCGTGCTCAAGTTATATGATCACACCAAAAACGTTCACTTGTTTTTATATTTTAGTTAGTATGGGTGGTGCCACGCCCCCTTTGCCGAATTCGGGAAAACTTCGCATACACCATCTGCATGATAGATCGAATATGCCACATAAATTTGGTTGAATTCGGTGAAGCCGTTCTCAAGTTATGAGGTCACACCAAAAACGTGCACTTATTTTTATATATAAGATTAATAAAATATGAACAAAACATTTTCAAAATATAGACAAAATTGCTCTACGATTTTGACTGACACTCGCTGTATTAAAGAATTTTAACAATTTATTTTTTGTTGTTTAATTTCAGTTACTTTTTTATTAACATATATTTCTTTATTTCATAAAACTGAACTTAACTGAACGTAACTGAAATTAAATAACAAAAATAAATTGTTACAATTTGTCAATATGTGGTGCGGCTATAATTTTTTCGACCACTGCACATACTAGTCTAGATTACATCAATGAATTCACATTTAAAATGTTTTTTTCCCGAAGAACTTCTAAAATTAGTTTAAAAAAGATTTTAAGTCAAGACTTACAAAAAAATACATATGCTTTTGAAAGCAAATACTGGAAATACTTACGTACTAATATATTTTACATCAATGACCTCGCATTTAAAATGGCTTGTTTCGTTTTTGGAAGGAACCTTCTTTGAACACAACTTGGTTTTTTTTGTAATACTTATATACTAACATACATTGCCGCCAAAAAAACGGGACACTGATTGATTTTGATATTCCGCAATTTCTCGAGTAATTATGTTTTGCATAGTTTTTATAAAAATATAGTTCTTCCTATAAAAAAACCCATAAAAGTCAGAGTTCGAAACTCTATGCAGATATTTAAAAGAAAGCAGTTTTGCGCTTTATTATACTATTCTATTAATTACAAAACTGCGTACTCAATTAAAGTGCAAAGCTGCTTTCTATTTTTTCTGTTTTTTATGGGTTTTGTTGTAGGAAGAACTTAACTTTTATTAAAAATATCTTAAATGAAAATAAAAATTAATCAATGTGACGTTTTCTTTGCGGCCGGCCATGTAAAGGTACAATTCATCAGCGAAGCCGCTTCGTGACATATTATTATTTTTAAAGTTAATTTTTAAAATAAGTCTTTTGTAGCCTCATTAACCATTTTTCTTTTGGATGTGACGCCTTTGATCTATTCAATTTTTTCCTCTTGCAATGGCCATTTTTACATCACTTGTATAGTCCTCATAGCTATTGTACATATTTTTAACGGTATCTATTGAAAAAATGGATTAGCATTATAATATATTAATATAAGCATTATAATATTAATATAATATTATGATATTAATATAAGCATTATAATAAAAAATATTTAATAAATAATATATATAATAATATACATAACAATTTACACTTGCGGTCACTTGATTAAGTTAAGTGACATTTTGATCAGTTTTGTTTTTTTTTATTTATTTGATGTTAATAATTTTTTTATAAAAGTCACCACATAAATTCACATTTCAAACTTCTTACAAAAATTATACAAATTCAAAAAACTTCAGCATTTATACCCCAAAGTTTTTTAACTTTATTAAGAATGTTTAGGAAAATTTTAAATGTGCAGTTTAACAGCCCATTAAATTTCAGTAGGTCAAAGTCCAAATTTTAAAAAGCTAGAAAATAGCATTAATTTTACAATTTATTTTTCAAAGTTATCTCTATCAAGGGTTTTAAGTGGAAATTTGTAGCTGTTCAACGTTGAAAACACTTTGCCGTAGATTCTGTTTATTTTAATACATTAGAATGTCAGTGTGAGCAGACGTGTTTTTGTGGCGCTGCATCGAATCTCGCTTTTAAATCGTAATTCCCGGTCATTTATAGTAAATAATATATCTACTAGCAGCTTGTGCCAGCACCTATAGCTACAGTTGATCGACGGTCACTTTACTTGCATCATTTTGCCTATTTTCGCTTTTTAATAATAAACAATATTCCCTGAGTGCAAATATGTCAACAAGAAAAAGTTCCCGCAATACCTCCTCTCCGCAACAAACTCCAGTACAAAAACAGTTGAAAGGTATTAGCAGTCCGACAACGGTGAGTTTGCTTGAGAGGCTGGAAAAGAAATTAGATTTTTCCATGAGCAGTATCATCTCGAAATTACATGAGAGCGAAGAGCGTGTCATGCAGAGAATAGGTGAAGTCGCTGCTGAAGCCCGGAACACTTTGACGACAGCAAGCGACAAGCAGCATCTGTCAAATTTTAAATACACACGTTCTTACGGACACAATTATTTTGACGACAGCACGACATCTTGGCTGCAGGACTGCAATTGTCGACGTCGCCAAATTAAATCTATTTCTAATTTTGCCGGCGACAATGAGTAGATGTAGTGCTGCAAAATTAAATTGTCGCAAAATTAATCACATATTCTTGATTGTTCATGTTTTTCTTATTTACTTAAATAAAAATACACAATTTGTGAAATAAATATACCAAAATGTCAAACTTTAAAATCAGCTGTTTGCTATGTCGCTGAGGTCTTCAAAATGTTTAAGAAGCTGGCTTCAAGGCGACATTTGTCGACAAAATGATGTCGCTGTCGTTACGTCGTGAAGTTGCAGTCGTCAAAGTGTTCCGAGCTTGAGTTATAAAACATAAAAGCCGCCATGAAGAAGATGGATGAGAGAGTGAGTGAATTAGAAAAACTCAATGGCGAAGGTGGTGAACAAAACAAAAACGTTCAAGCTCTATGCCAACATGTTGATGACCTGGAGAACGCGCTGGTGTCGACTGACGTGATTGTGTTTGGTGTACCTAGTGTGGCTGGTGAGAACCTAATTTCGATGTTCTCACGGCTATGCACGAAAATTAATATAGCCCCACTTGCCATCCGCTCAGCTTTTCGTACGCGTAAAAACAACAGCTCCACTAAGCACTCTCCGATTATCTACAAACTAAACTCAACCTATGATCGCTCACTTCTATTCAAAGCGATTGCTGGTGCATTTAAATCTGGGTGTAAGTCGTTTACTCTCCGCGATATTGGGGTTGATGCTGATGAGAAAAAGAATCGTGATGTTATCATTATGCGTCCAATATGAAAAAGCAAAAACGTTTGGTGAGTGCATTTATGATTCATGGGCATGTCTATGTGAGAAAGCACCCGGATAGTGAAGCAGTTAAAGTACTTGACTCTACAAGCGTAGATCGCATCGCAGCCGCAACTTAAATTCTAATATACTTTTGTTTGTCTGTGTATATTCTTGTGATGTTAAGTGATTCTGCCTTATTATTATTCATGCCCACTTGTAAGAGAATCTATGCCTATTTATTGCTCCCTCTTATTAATTTTCTCTTCACTTCATATTGCATACATTTTCTCTTCTTGACCTGCCGCTCTCAAGCATCTCTTATTTATCTTCGATTTGATCGATGACNTATACTTTTATTTGTCTGTGTATATTCTTGTGATGTTAAGTGATTCTGCCTTATTATTATTCATGCCCACTTGTAAGAGAATCTATGCCTATTTATTGCTCCCTCTTATTAATTTTCTCTTCACTTCATATTGCATACATTTTCTCTTCTTGACCTGCCGCTCTCAAGCATCTCTTATTTATCTTCGATTTGATCGATGACCCTAGCGTACACACTAACAAAGACAATCTTAGGCTGGCTCTAAATTTAACGTGCAAGTATAATAAAGGTTTTAATATCTGCCACTTTAATGCTCGAAGCTTAACAATTGACAAACTAGATTATTTAAACAATATTTTTTATGAAAGTAGCATCGATGTGATATGTGTAACCGAGACGTGGTTCAAATCATGTATTCAGAGTTCAACATATGCTATGTGCGATTTCTCGCTATTAAGAAATGACAGATCCACTGGGTGCAGAGGTGGTGGCATAGCCATATATTATAATTCCAAGCTCAAATGTAAAGTTTTGCATAAGTCTCTCTGCTCAGATGTTGTTGAGTGTATGTTTGTAGAATTTAATGATAATGTACAGAAGTGTCTTGTTGTTTGTGTATATAACCCACATAAATATAATGATCTATCGTCAACCTTTACGAAAATTCGTGAACTGTCTGTAAACTATGTTCATGTCCTCGTATGTGGTGACTTTAATGTAGACATTTTATGTAACAATGCCAGGTCCAAGCACTTATTGAGCAGCTTAAATTCTTGTGGTATCAATATTGTTAATAAGTATGCGACACGCTTTCCGCCTAACTGTAAGGCAACTATGTTGGATCTCTTTGGCACCAGTGAGGTTAATAATGTAAACCATGTGGATCAATTTCCATTAGCCGGTATTTCTGACCACGAATTAATTTATTTATGTTACAATATAGAATTCAAGAAAGCACAACAAATAACCCATTTGACTTATAGAGATTTCAAAAATATAAATATTTCTGCCTTAAATGATGAATCGAGTTCTCTGGACTAGAACTTCTGCTGGCGCCTCTCAGATATTGACGAAAAATTAGAGCATTTTACTAAGCTGGTAAAATATTTGTTTGATAAGTATGTCCCTCTCCGTAAAATTAAAATAACTTGCAATAGAAAACCCTGGTTCACCAAATCAATTTTAAATCTTATAAAGGACCGAAATAAAGCGTAATCCTGTAGCTGAACGCTGGAATAGATACAGAGATTTACGAAATATAGTAACTAAAAACTTACGCGCGAATAAAAGATTGTATTCGCAGAGTAAATTTAATGAAACAGTTTCCACGAAAGATTTATGGAAAAATCTCAAGTCGTTAGGAGTCTGCGTGAAAGACAAGAAAGCATGCACGATTGATGCAAATGTAATGAACTCATACTTTTTAGGGGTAAATAAGCAGCAAACAAGTGAGTCATCCTTTAAAACTAACCAAAGTCTGACCTGTAATCCTACAGTTAAATTTACATTCAACTCAACCACTGAAAATGAAATTATCAACTGCATATATGCCATAAAATCGAATGCTATTGGCGTGGATGGTCTTAGCCTACGCTTTCTAAAAATAATCCTTCCTTATGCACTCCCCTCAATTAGCCATATTTTTAACTTCATTTTGACGTCGTCAACATTCCCTAGTCAGTGGAAAGTCGCAATCGTTTTTCCGACCCCTAAAGGCAAGCTGTGTGACTCCCCCCAAAACTATAGGCCCATCAGTATAATACCAGCGCTATCAAAAGTTTTTGAAAAAATTACTTGTAAACAAATAGTGTCGCATTTGAATAATCACAACCTGTTATCTGAGTACCAATCTGGCTTTAGATCTGGGCATAGTTGTACTACTGCAATACTTAAGGTAATGGATGATATCCGCCCCGCTTTTGATAATAAAATGCTCACTATATTGGTTCTCTTGGATTTTTCAAAAGCATTTGATTCTGTTAATCATAATATTTTACTAACTAAGTTACAAGATTATTTTGGTTTCGACTCAACGTCAGTAAAATTAATAAAAAGCTACCTCTCGAATAGGCTACAACAAGTACAGTGTAGCAGCATCACTTCGCAGCGTATGAAGATTTCCTCTGGTGTACCTCAGGGTTCAATCCTGGGTCCCATACTTTTCACCATCTTTATTAATGATATTGTCAACTGCTGTCAAAACTCTTCAATACATCTATATGCTGATGATACCCAGATCTACCTTTCGCGTCCTATTGGTCTTGGCGAAGATTTAGTATGCAGGTTAAATGATGACCTAAAAAGACTGTGTAGCTGGGCCAAGACAAATGGCCTTTGCTTAAATGCAGCAAAAACACAGGTCTTACTTTCTTACTTTGAGTTAGTATATAGCAACCCCGACTACGAATCTAAAAATAAACTAAACCTAGCTTTGAATAATGCTGCGAGATTTATATATAGCAAGCGAAAATTTGATCACATCTCGTTATATACTAAAAGTATTCTCTGCTTTAGTTTAGATAATTACTTAAAAGTGCGAAATATTTTATTTTTATTTAAAATAATTAAGTATCATCAGCCTGGTTACCTTTTCTGTAGACTTAAGTTTGTCATATCATCTCGCACTAAAAACATTGTAGTACCAAAATATAAAACGTTAACGGCCTCCAGACTATTCTTTGTTAGTGTTGTCAGACTATGGAACTCATTACCACTTTCAATTAAAAACATAAATTCAGCTAGATGCTTTAAGACGGCAGTTACAGAACTTTTTACTTAGTTCTATGTTTTCTCATCTTTTATGTAACTCTTGTTNATGCTGCGAGATTTATATATAGCAAGCGAAAATTTGATCACATCTCGTTATATACTAAAAGTATTCTCTGCTTTGGTTTAGATAACTACTTAAAAGTGCGAAATATTTTATTTTTATTTAAAATAATTAAGTATCATCAGCCTGGTTACCTTTTCTGTAGACTTAAGTTTGTCATATCATCTCGCACTAAAAACATTGTAGTACCAAAATATAAAACGTTAACGGCCTCCAGACTATTCTTTGTTAGTGTTGTCAGACTATGGAACTCATTACCACTTTCAATTAAAAACATAAATTCAGCTAGATGCTTTAAGACGGCAGTTACAGAACTTTTTACTTAGTTCTATGTTTTCTCATCTTTTATGTAACTCTTGTTCACCTACGTCATACTATTTCTTACCCTGCTTTCATGGTTGGATAAGCCTTAGAATTTAAGTTTAGTTTAAGATTAAAATTTGTAATTGAATTGTAAAAATGTACAAAAAAAGACTTAATGTCTTACCGTACTTTTGAGATAAATAAATAAATATTTTGTTCGCTTATGATCGCGGTTTGGTGGTCGAGGGCTTCTCTTAGCAAACCAACCATTTCCTTAAGATCTGAAAATATAATAATTAATATATGCATGCAGGGGCGCACCCAGGAATATATTTTAGGGGGGTTTTATATTTCTGAAGATATATCACCGGAAAATACAGAAAATTTGCTTCAGATAATACTCTCTTTAAAATGCATTTATGCAAGTTTTATGTACAGTATGTAATAAATAAATAAACGTTTTAAAATTCTTAAAGTGCACTTTATTTACAGATTAACAGAACTCAAACGCTTTTAACCGACTTCAAAAAAAGTGATGTTATCATCTCGCCGGAATACATCACTTTGGACCACGTGAACCGTTTTCAATAATCCTTTTTTTATTAGAAAGATAGTACCTCAAGGTTCGTCCCGTAATTTGTTTTAGAGATCCGATGATTGGATCATGAAGAAATTAACGGTACCCCTAAATTTGAATATGAGAATTGAAGTCGGTTGTGTTCTTTCCTTAAAAACTACTTGTTTAATAAAAAGTTCTATAAACTCAAGATGCGCTCAACTTTCAAAAGTACCTAATAAAAAATTTTAAAAAAGAGTCAGTAAAAATAAATTTATTGATTCCATGAATTTTTGCACTTCTATGTTCATTTTTTCGATCTCTGGTTTTCGATAGAGATGGTGATTTTTCACGATTGCTAAATTTTTTAATATTTCAAATACCGAAAAAATTAGCTGAACTCTCAAGAAAAACGAAAAATTCATATAAAACGACGGACGAGAAATGGGAAAGAAATTTTCTTCTACCAAAATTTCTTAAATCAGTTTGCAGCTCTCAAGAAAAAAAATGCTCGTATATTTATTCCCTCATGAAAATTTACAGCAAAAGCAAAGCGCTTTTTCAAGCAACAGAAATTATAATAAATATTTCTTATAATTTCCTTGAGAGCTGGATTCTTAGCTTTAAGATACAGATAGTATTTGAGGTTATTAGCTTTAGGGGGGGTTTGAACCCCACAACCCACCCCTTGTGTGCGCTAATGTATGCATGCAATTATTAAAACATTAAAATTTCGCAATAGTTATCAATACTTAATACCTTTAAACTCGCCCATCATACGCTCATCTGAAGCGAAGCTTACAACGGTTGACGGCACAGAATGAGATGGGGAATGGTACATTTCGTCAGCAGGATGAAGCTGAAATGGCAAGTTAGCTGAAATAAAGAAAAAGTATAAACAAAGTATAAGTATAAATTTTCATTTTTGTCTTCTTACCAAGTTGCCTATACATTTTTAGTTTCTGGTTTGATGAATAACAGGAATAAGGATGTATGTACTGTCTTCTGCAACCGTTGAAAAATATTTTTTAATATTTACATCTATTGATATTACTTCTTCTTCTACGGCCAGCTCCTTAGCTTGTAATATTACTATTTGCAAAGAATTAAAAGGATACGAAAACAGGGGTGAAATATTTAAAAATTTCTTAAATACCATGTAATGCTTTCCATTCTTTATTCCGAGGGCAACTATCTTACTCGGATGGCCATTTATGCAACAAATATTATTGGGTGGTTTTTTTTTTTAAGTTTCATTAAATTTTAGAGATATTAAGCTTTTATCAACTAAATGATTTTTTGCCTCAAAATTTTTTTTAACTGAAATATCATTTAATTTGTTGTTCAGCTGCATAAGAATATGCTGAGGTTTCTTAATTTTTCTCTTCAAAATTTGTAAAAAATTTTCATAATGGTAACTATCTGCCACTCCAATTTCTTTAATTGAATCAACAAGATGAAGAGTTCCATGAACCTTGTAAGAAATGCTGTCTGGGCCATAAAATTTACTAAAATTTGTAACAAACAACTGCAGCATGCCTTTTACTACTTCAGTGTTTGCCTGAAAAGTGGTTCCGGATAAACATATACGATAAGCGCAGCATAAAAGTAGATAGTGTTCATACATATCTATGCACATAATATCTTTGAATACTATAATTCCAGTATATAAATTGAATTGCCGGAATTCGGTTCCCTTCCACCTCAAAAGTTCTCCGAAATGTCTTGGCATCCTAGAAAACTCTTTAGGAACACATTTCCTAAGGTCCAGCAACTTCATTGATAATTCAGATTTATTTTGTCGAGAAATATTAAAATGTGATTCCAATTTAGAGCCCATAGTTTTGGTAATTATTTTCTTAGCTATACCAAGATCAATAAGATGTAAGATGTCAAAAGGAAAGTGTGTGACGAGATTAATGCCATATGCTTCTAGTATATTTGGTTTAGACCTATATCCTACACTATGGTGGCTTAAATCTATTCGGGCATTAAAGCTTTCATTTGTTCGTGTATCACCCACTGTATTTGAATATAGTCCTGTTATTGATACGGAAACCTACTTGATTACAAAAAGGACATCCATGAAAGGAATTGTGGGCAACAGTCATAAGTCACAAATGCTCTCGCAGTCGCACACGAATGCCCTTATGTTGACTTTCGGAGTAAGATCTCCCAGTCTCAAGCCATTTGCATCAATTTCTTTTAAATCTTCCACGAGTTGCGTTAAATATGCATCACCATTTGATGGCTTTTTTGGTCCCGCAAAAGAACCTATCACAAACGGTCTAAGATCACGCCTGTCGACGAATGCACCTAATATAGGCCACAGGGCAGTACCTGAACTTTTAAAAAGTAGAAGACCGTCTACAGTAAAACCCGCTTAAGTACCTCACGAAAAATGTCAGCTTTTTGAGGTACTTAAGCGGGTTGGGTACTTAAAAGAACCCGCTTAAGTACCTCGATGCGGGTACTTAACCGAACATAATTACTGATGTAGGTACATCATCTTGTTAGCTTACATAAATACTTGATTAACAACATTTAATGAAGCATACATAGTTTAAAACCAGCCTCGTAGTATTATTTAAACACATAAACAAGTAAAGAAAAACTTTATTTAAAAAAATCATATATCCCAGCAAACATTTGGAGTCATAAATGAGTCTTTAAGGAGTCCCATTTCGGAGCCTTTGTGCTCATAATGAGCTCATTTAAGAGTCCGAAATGAGGGTGTTTCCCTTCCTGCGTAGGTCGACCTATATGAGCTTAAATTCATACATCAAATGAGCCTCAATATGAGTCATATTGGACTCTTATTGGCCTCATNGTGTACATGTTTATTTATAAACGTATGTGTTCCTTTTCTTTCGTACGTGTTTATTGATATATCTGTACTGTAGTGTTTTCGGACGGTACTAGCTCTTACTGCCAATATAGGAGTATTACATATATGAAAAAATATATAGTGCAATGGTATGTCATTTTTACAAAAATTAAATTGTTTAAAAAGTCAAAGTTGGACATATCATTTTGCACCAAATTCAAAATGATATTTTTTCCCACTTATGTTTATTTATTAATTTTTGAGAACAAATACCATATAAACCTAAGCTTAAGATTTTGTAGAACACTAAAAAAAAGATGCATCATAATTTCAAACTTTTTTCTCTGAAGTGTTTTTTGAGTACACCATTCAATTTTGGTGGAATAATGTGCAAGTTTCAAGTGACTAAAAATTACCGTTGATTTTTTAGAATTTTTTTTTTTACCGAAGGTGTTTAGCGCTGCTACTGAATTTCAAAATACGTAAATATTTTAAGCAATTTTAAAAGCGCACTTTAAAGGGGAAAATTCTAAGTAAAATTGTAAATGGGGCACGAAAAATGTAGGTAGGCGGGTTGGGTAAATAAGCGGTGAGGTACTTAGGAGAGGGATTTTCTTCAGATTATATTCAAAAATTCACGGTGTCCAAAAATGCTGGTTACTTAAGCGGGTTAGGTGCTTTAGCGGGGGGTACTTAAGCGGGTTTCACTGCATATCTATTTGTACTATGTTGTCCCGAACTATATTCAAGTCACGATATTTATTTATCATTTTGGAAATACCAACATGAATATAGCTGCCGGCTCAATATCAGTGGTCCTAGCTTTTTCAATATTGCCTGAACCTATTAATGTTTGCATGGACAAGGGCACATCTAATCCACTAGTTTTTAAAATTTTTACCAAGCGGTTCATTGCACTGTGCGATATGTTTTCCTCTAAAGCCCAGAAAGCTAAGGACTCTTTCAAAGAAAAAGCTGGTTCATTGGAACTATCATTTAAAAAAACATAGTTCATTGAAAGCATTATCGACCATGTCGCTTGATTCCAAATGATCACCACTATTTCCTAGGAAATTGTAAACATTGATTCGCGCAGAATCTATTTCCTGATCACTTTTGCCAGTTGATTTCGTCTTTGTTTTGCTTATTAGGCGCTTAAAACGCCGCTTAGAGTACCGAACGTATTGTGCCATTTCGTTGGCTTAGTTCGCAAACGTGCTAAGTCCATTTTTTTTTGTCAGGAGGGACAAAAAACCGTCTATCTTTTTTTTGTTGTCAATATTTTTCTAATCTCTAAATGCAGTTTTCTTCCTTAGTTCGTCTTGTTTTAGTACCAATAATCGGCCAATTTCAAAATATAGCTGTTGCAGACTTATAGGCTCTTTTGGGACTTACCACATTTTCTATTTAAGATTTTATTCTTTTAATGTGAACTTAGCACATTTTCTATCAACCTTTTTTCCATTATTTTTTATTTTTAAAAGATTTAGGCCCACTTGCAGAACATCCAGAGTTAAATATATAAATACAGAGTTCAGTAGCTAAGAGTTAAATTTTTACATTACTAAACCCGACAATGTCTTGCAGCAATGAAAACTGACTCAGAGTTAAGTTACCCGAGGGATTTCTAAATTAAGTAGGCACCACCCTCTTTTTTTGACGTTTGTTTTGATTGTTTATATTTATTGTTTGAAATTAAATAAAAAATTTCTATTACAACCAGAAAATCTAAAGAATGGCAAATATTAAATAAAATTATATCTCGCTATGGTTGGATTGATACACATGCCTGTCCAAGCACATCAACTTTAAGACGGACTTCTATTACTTGACCTGAATATGTACTCATTTATGTACCACATCCACGCCATGGTAGTTTCAACTGCGCTCATGAAGATCTTCAGCTAATTTCTCTGCAAATTGGCCAGCGACACTTCTTCACTGCACACTTTCGGTGCATTTAAATCGCATATACATACATATTTTTTTACGCGAGACTGACCGAAACCTCTATTTGAAGGCGGAAAAATGAATACATGCATATGTGTGTATGTGTGTATGTAAACATGTGTTCAAAAATATTTTTTAAATTTTTGAAATCTCAATTTTATTATTCTTGTTACTGACAAAATTGACATATGTAGAGTTAGCAAGTTAACCTTCGAAAATTGCTGAGCTAAATATTTAACGAGTTAACTTTAATTTTACACCCAACCATTGATTGTGCAAGCCAATTTATCAATTTAACCGGTAAACTTCGAGTTATATAGATTACCTGCTGTTATGCAAGTGGGCCTTAGTTGTTTATTTGAAATATATTTTATTGTTTTAAAATAAATTATAACCTAATACAGTTTTATTTCATTGCTATTAGAAAAATAACTATTTTAAGTCGTAAATTTATGTACCATTTATAAAAGAAAATAATTGAAAGTAAGTAAAGAGGTATAAGTTTGTGCGAAACCGAACTTCATATACCCGGCGCAGGTATCAAATACTGTCGTAAGCAGGGGCGTTTTCCCCGATTTCAAACGTTTTCCATAATATCCTGAGTTAGACTCAATGAAATAATTGAACCACGTTTAGTAGAAATCGCTAAATTGGCTACCGAGATACACCTTGTAGTCATAAAGTGGGCGGTGTCATGCAGTCTTAGTTATTGTTAAGAGATTGTTGTAAGTATTAACTTGGAGTAAATTGGCGTCGTCAGTTATTGAAATATCAGAGTTTCCGCATTTCTGAAATTTACCGTTAGATATACGGAAAGCGAATGTAATTTTGGTCCGATTTGAATAATTTTCAACGAATTGCTTTTCCGTACCAGGTTTATTAAGTGCACCGAGTTTGGAAGAAATTTATAAATCGGTTACCGCGTTACACTCTTGCGGTCATAAGTGGGCGGCGCCATGCCCATTATCCAAAAATGTATCATAATCTAATTTTCTGCTGAGTCGTTATCGAGATCATCGATTTTAAGTGAATTAGCTTTAGTAGATACGCGTAGTCATTTCCCGATTTTAAAGATTTTCAACAGATTTCTTAGTTAGACCCTAAATAAGGCTCGTAACGAGTTTGGTGGAGATCGGTGAATGGGCTACTGAGATATATTTCATAATAGGTGGGCGGAGTCACGCCCATTTTCCAAAAATTGCACAATAATATTTTTTACAAAAACTCT